TTTAGTATTTTACAATACGATATGCGATACGATTAGGTCTCTGTACTATACGCATTTGACATCAAACGACAACGATTCGATATCTCATTTATGTAGTAGGTAGTCATTTCAGTATACGAGTATATGCGTTCACTTTTCGATCAACATTCGTATGAACGTTATTCGATTACGTTATTTTCATATTGTGTCCATTTGTGTAGTTAGTATGATATAATATTGTTAACTATTTAAATATACCCAAAGTTACTCACACAAAAAAGGACAACATTTAATATTTATTTGAAAGAATTTTCGAATGAAACTTTTAGGAGTGATAGTCAAGTTTTATACTATCAGTCTTGTGATAAATCAGTATCTATTGACTAACATGGTCAAGTAATCCAGCACATCAATACCAGTAAACATAGAGGCAATAGAGACAGAAAGCTTATATTTCAAGAAAATTTTATTTCTACATCATCCGCATCTACCAATAGTAAGTTAGTTTTTAATTATTATTTGTGTTGTGCACTAATATATACAGACATTCCTCTTTTTAATTTGAAAAATGTTGCATTTAAAAATTTTATGGAAAAATATAGTGGTCATAAAATTCCCGAAGAGAGTACATTTCAAAAAAATTATGTTAGCGGGGTTTATGAAGGAAACTATTTTGAAAATTCAAAATATCATTAGAGATGGGCCTATTTGGGTTGGAATAGATGAAACCACAGATGCCGACGGTCGATATATTGCAAATGTTATTGTAGGAAAATTAAGCACTGAATCATCTAAACCATTTTTTTTTATGTTGTGAAGATTTATCAAAATGTAACCACAAAACTATATGTCAATTATTTAATAATACAATGGGTGTTTTGTGGTCGAATGGTATAATACATAATAATTTACTTTAACTTTTAACGGACGCCGCGCCGTATATGTGTATGGCGGGAAAAGTATTGTTCACATTTTATCTAAGAATGGTGCATTTAACTTGTCTAGTACATGGTTTTTATTGTATAGCTGAAACAATTAGATTTCAGTTTCTTGAAGTTGATTCATTAATTTCCAACGTAAAAAAAATATTTTTAAAAGCACCAAGTCGTGTACAAACATTTAAAAATATATGTCCGGGTTTAACTCTACCTCCCGAGCCTATTATAACTCGATGCGGTACGTGGTTATCCGCTGTATAATATTATTCAAATAACTTTGAAAATAATAGAAACGTTGTTTTAAATTTAGATTCCGATGCTGCAATAGCAATAAAAAAAACTATTGAGCTCATAGAAAGTAAAAATTTGTAAAACAATTTAGCATTTATTTCCACTAATTTTAGATTTTTAGTCGATACTATTTTGAAATTAGAACATTCTAAAACATTCTAACGGAGAGCTTAGAAATAGTTGATAATGTCATAAAGCAATTAGATCGTGTTCCTGGAGAAATTGGAGTTTTAGTCAATTCAAAATTAAAAAATGTATCAGAAAAAAACCCAGGATTTAATACTGTAATATCGTAATATCAATAAGAGACATAGAGTTAAACAAAACTCCGATAACAATTATTCAGAAATTGAATACACTCCAAAAGAAATAATGTGTATGAAATATGCACTTGTCACGACCGTTGATGTGGAGTGGTTATTCAGCCGTTATAAAGCAATGTTAAGACCGAACCGCCGCTTCTTTACACTTGAAAATTTCAAGTTATATGTCGTTTCTGTTTCCCACCTGCAGACTATGATGATTTAGAATACATTTTTAATTTTTTTAATATTTTTTAATGATTTAATAATTTTATCTTATTTTCAATTTAAATATTTAAATATTATACATTTATAAATAAATATTTATTAAGTAATAAACAAATATATATTTAAATATTTTTGATTTTATATCAAATTAAAATTCGTTCCTTACTGATAAGGATGCATTATATTTTTCTACGACTTTTTCTGTACTAATTAAAATTGTCGATAAGTTTACGGATTTAATAATTAGGCGATGTTAAATCAAATTTCCATTTGGAATGGGTTCATCATTTAAAATAAGTACTTTTTGGTGTACTTCAGCCATTTATTAAGAAAAATAGGACATATCTTCAAAAATAAGTACTGTCCTTATAAAATAAGTACGTCTGGTCACCATACGTAGAGCTATTTCGATAAATAATCGGATTTAACTGAATAACTATAATGTACATACTTTTCGAAAAATATTGAGGAAAAGGTTCTGTTGTATATAATGTTATTTACATAATAAATAAAAATGTGATGGTTATTTTGAAGATTAAATCGAAAAACTAATAATTATTTTTCAAAATATCTACAGATTAGACCTATCAAATGAAAAAATGCAACTGTTTCCATCTTATTCTGAAAATAATTAAAATTATTACCGTATGGTATTACAGATTTTTTAATATGATCTACACTGTAATGTACTAAATTAAACCGATGGTCGATCAACAATAGTTAAAATGAATTAATCATCACTAAACAGAATTTCGAAAAATATCATTGTTAAAAATAAAAATTAAGTACCCAAAGAGCATTGCTGTTTGAACTTTTGAATAGGAAAACTCTTCCTTTGTCCTCCGAATCAGTCACTACAATAACATAAAACTATTATATGAGCAAACCTAAATATTTTTAAGTTTCAATAAAATAACATACATACACAAGCCATCTAGTCGGTTTATAATGAACACACGTTGGTTGTATACGTACCAAGGTTTTTTTTTATTATTATTCTTTCAGTTGGATGATGATCGCATGTCATGGGTCGGTGCTCACGAATAGTTATTATCTAGCTCCACCACCGGGTAATCTATTACAATAATAATATTAAAATTGTTGACTTTATGCTTTCGGTCGGGAGGAGATTAAGTCTCTCCTTGAGTCCTCTCCTCGATACCCTAGGCATTACCTGACGGCCTTGGGAAATTCGAACGATAGTTGGATAGGAATATTATTTTATAGTAGTATATTATTTATATGTATTTGCATGCACGTCATATAGCTTAAAACAACGATTTCCAAATTTTTTCAGCCACGGAGCTTTTTTCTTATGATGTGTATGTATATAGGAGGAAACTCAAATCGAGATAATAATGTATCTATATTTAATTTTATATTTAAATTTAAATTTACAGTATACATGGCCGGGTAATACCTTGAATGGGAATGTCTATTATTTAAAATAAAACAATTATATTTTCCAATCGGGATTTTAATATTGTTTATATACTTATCAGTTAATAATAATTGAGTTGTTAAAATATATAATATATATGTATACTATGATTGTTGTTTTAAAAATAACGAGCAATACTTGTGTAGAAAACTTTTTTGGTTAATCACGTAGGTGCCACGAAATACAGTAAACTTTAAGAGGAACTTAATTATATTATACTTGTAATCAATGATATTAAGTAATAAATATAAAGCATTAATTAATATAAAAAATAATAAAGCAAAATTCATAATTTTTATTTATATATGTATATTATACACCTCTTGCGACAATACAAGCAATATCAAGAATTGTCGTATTCAAGAAACGTCAACCACGGTTTTCAACAGGCAGGTCAATACAGTCACCGGAGAGATAATATTAAATATTTATAATATAATAAGTAATGATTTAAAAAAACATATAAATACTTCACTCATAAATTAACATATAAATACTTTAATTTTTAAATCATTACACTATGATCTGTAGGCAATCCGCCCTTAAATTAATTTTGTCCACTTAAAATGTTTGAAATTTTTTATAATTTATCAAATCCAAAATTTATCTCTATTACTTTTTTAATTTTGTCATAAATTATTTTAGTTTATGCAGATATTCTAATTTTTGCAGAATTTATACATTATTTTGAAGTTTTAATTATTTTAATCATTAAAATTTAATGAATTCATTGAGTACAACACCTAGGGTTTCAAGTCGAGTGACAAATACAGAAGTAAATTCATAATTTGATATAATAAAAGCTAAAATTACTTTCAAATTATTTGATTTTAAAATTTGATTAGAACATTTAAAACATTTTGTTTTATTTTTCCTATGATGAAACATCATTTATTTTATACCAAATATTTTAGAATAAATTATATTTAATTTGAATAACATCAGTTAAACTACAGACTACTTATTCAAACTTAAATTGTAAGGTCTTATTTACAATTATTAGGGTGGGGTGTTCTTTATGATACTAACTTCCAATTTAATAACCCTAATAAATCTTTTGTTATTGGTCGAATATAATACTGTAATGTATATAACATTTAGTACATTACAAAACTATAGAGAAAAATTCTCGTTGAGCGTGTATTTGCGTCTGTGTCGTGTTTGATGGGAAGAAAGAGTACGGAGTTATGGTTTTCGCTGGACCAGGTAGTTTTCTAGAATAAACTATATTGTTCATTACCTACTGAGCAATACGAAGAAACAAAAATATATAATATTGAAAACACTGATGGAAAACAACGTAATATTATGTACGAAAATAAGGCGTTGTCGAAATGCATGTACCTATTAAATAGTAAATGTTGACACATTTAATCAACTGTAGTGCAATTAGTAGTTGATTTCTTAAATTTGAATTTAATATTATTAGGTATACAATTTGCATATAATTTAAATATATATATATATTAACATATAAGGCTGTGAAATTATAGGAAATCACTGGGGGTGGGAATTATGTGATATGCGATATGTCATAGGAATAATAAATTAATAATAATTAAATACATTTTTTCGAAGGGGGGGTTATACATTTTTTTATTGGGTAATACCCCCCCCCCCCCATCCGGTAAACCTCCTGAAACATGTACTGCTATAGTATCCGTACGATGTTCTATGATATCATTCATCAGCATAATTATCCATAGACATATAAAGATATAGGTAACTATATTAATGTGTCAATGTTATTATCAGATCGGTTGGCATCGTCGCAGTGCACGCACATACGCAAGGCCGGATAATCGTCGGATAATCGTTGTGCGGCGGAGTGGGATTGACGAGTGGTGTGACTGTCGTGCGTACCACTGACGATACTCCGGCAGTTTCGTGACGTTCATGGTTCCGTGTTCACCGTGATTGCTCACTTGTCTCGTAGTCCATCCGTTGTTTGTCTGAATATTTTCCTGTGAGTAAAATCATTAATATTCATTAATTATATTTAAATTAATATTCAATCATTATTATTATTATTATTTCGACATTGCGCGCACAGTTGTATTCATAGAATAAAGATAATTGTATCTCTACAGCGATGGTCGTGAGTTGCGTAATCCAACGCAATCGTAATTATAAAATTATCTTTCTGCCGACTCATCGAGTTTTGTTGTCTGTTGTATTTCATTAAAGTTTACTGGTTGGGTCTTGGTACGTAACCGGTGTCCATCTCAAGATAAAAAAAAATATATATACACGCCCTTTCTAGACGTTTGATATTCCATGGTGGTGCGTCAATTTTTTTGTACTGATTGAAATTTAAAACACTGTGATAAATCAACTCGTTTGTTTTTTTTTTTCTTGTGTTTGAAGTTTTAAACCTTGTGTGCTGTACTCACAAAATATCTCTAGATTAGAAATGCTCTTCTTGTATTTTACTCTGATTTGAATTACAATGGTATCTATTGGCCATCAGTCAAATGTTATACAGTTGATATTTAGCCGGCATTAACATTGTTATTTTTGTTAGGTTTTAGTAAATAGTAAATTATGTAAAACAGACAGATTGACGTCAAATTAAATTATGCGTTGTCACTGGTTGATAATGTCAAAAATAAAAAATTTAGTGTGTATTACGGTTACATAAATATGTTTTCAATTTCTCTAGGAAATCTTATTCAGTCGTGAAAAATGTCATCATACAAAGTAACTTACTTTGATATTACTGCGTTGGCTGAGCCCATCAGATTTCTCCTATCCTATTTGAATATTGATTTTGAAGATTTTCGGTTTGACAAAGAACAATGGCCAAGTATCAAACCAAGTAAGTTATAAAAACTAAAAATAATTTTTTTTGAACTTTTGGTTACTGTGCTTAAATATATATAATTGAAGAAGGGGTTATAATTATAATTACACATGATAAGCTATTCTTATGAGGTACCTCAGAATCCCTCCAGATTTTTGTTTTTTCTTAACTCAATAATATTTGTCTAAATAGATTAAGGTCAGATATACTTATAACATGAGATACTCCTTTAGGTAATTGAATAATAATGATTTACAATCAATACTTATAGTAAAAGTTATATCAATCTCAATCTCATCATCAACTTTAGGTCTATTATTATTATTATATTATTAAATTAAATACAAATTACACTAACAAAATAATTGTTATTTTTTGTTGTCAGTTTTGAAAACAAAATTTCTACTAAAATTAAAATGTTATAAAAATTAAGTAATATTTATACTGCTAATTTAAAATATATGTTAATTGATGTTGTAGTAGAATACATAACTTCTCAATTTTTTTTCTTTTAGCCATGCCATTTGGCAAAGTCCCAGTGGTGGAAATTGATGGCAAGGTATTAAATCAATCAACTGCCATTTGCCGTTATTTATCCAAAAAAAGCTGGTTTGGCTGGTAGTGATGATTGGGAATCTATGTTAATTGATATCGCTGTTGATAATGTTCATGATTTACGACAAGGTAATGTGTTGTGTTTTATTATTTACTTTATTTATATTAAATTTTAAATTAAAAATGATAAAAAAATGTAATTTTAAATCATAATTACAGCTATTGCATCATATAAATATGACCCTCTTGAAGAATCTAAAAAGACCAAGTATGAACCTTTGATTAAAGAAACTATTCCATTTTATATGGATAAATTTGAAAAAATTGTTGGTGAAAATAATGGATACTTTGTAAATGGAAAGGTATTTCTAATATTTATTTAAAATATCTAATAGTATGACTATTTATGAAATTGAATAGTTATAAATAGCATTTTGGATATTAATATATTAGCATGTTTTATTTGTCAAGTTTAATGTTAGATGTAGGTATCAATTTAATTCATGCTTAACTGAATCAAATAGTACTAATTTTATTTTACATATTTTATGGCTCAATTTTTTTATTTTAAATTAAAATAATTAATTTCACTATGCTTATTTTTTCCTTGGTGTTTGACTATAATATAAAAAATATTATCTAAAATATATACACACCTTTATCCAGTGGTTGAATTGGAAAAAAAAAATAAAGGTGGACTCTAAATGTAGCTGAACAATTAGCGTTCCAAAGCAAATTAATCTAAAAAAAAACCGTGGGGGACTCTGTACCCCCAGTGCTCGAAATGGAAAATTTTCTGAAATGGAACGCTTTTTTTTTTGAGTATATATCATAGAATTAGGGGCTTCACCCAACTAAAATTAAAATTTCTTCTTCCTCAAATACTAACCCTTTTTTAATAATATATAAGTTTTATCTACTATTTTATGAAACTCACTTTAAAATTTCAGCCCTTTTAAAAATTTAAATATATTTTTATCTTCTTTTACTTACGAATATGTATGTATATATTATATAAAATAAAAATATAAATATAAAATGTTTAAAGAACTACTTATAATTTATAAACTTATTTTTATTTAAATTTTATATTTATAACTCAAAAAGTACAGCATCAATACAATTTTTTTTACAATAACTTCCACAATGATTCATATGTCTTATCACACTTTTGGTTTCTTTTACGACTTGCGGTATCATCAGCTGAATGTCGACCATTCAATAACCAAGATCGAACGTATTTTTCTGGTTCGAATTTCGTTAGAGGTGGTCCAACACAATTAATAAATAAAAGAGCAGCAACAGTTTTTATATTTAATGAAGTTCTTAGTGACATGATTTCGTTCATAGAACTAAAATTTCGTTCACATTCGCTAGTCGATACTGGAATCGTTGCAATTGATTTATAAAGGGGTTTCAAATCTTCTGGAATTTCCTTTTTGCCCAAGTCCATTTTATAAATTCTAAAACTTTGAATAGTGCTCTTTTCATCAATTTGAAATTGTTGACATAAATTACGAATATTACAGTCACCAAATTGTATGTTTTCTATTTGGCCATCATTCGAAAGTGGCCAATTTTTTGGATTCGATTTTTCAATATTATCAAGTAAGTTTTTAAACGTTTTTTCATTGTCTTGGCGATGTTTTTCATTACGACTGACATTTGATAAACTGGAAGTCATTATTCGAGATTTTAAATTATTAGCTAGGCTTTTGTAAAATTGTGCAGAATTTATTTTAGGAACATTGCCACTGTGTAATATTACATTTTTATACGACATTTCGTTCTTTATTTCTTTTAATGCGTTAGTTAATTTTGGACCTGGATCGGTTGCCATAGAATCTAATACACGTATTGTTGTTCTTATAGATTTATCAGCGTCTACTAATGTAATACTACGTTTTTGTAAATATTCTGATAAATCTCCTAATTCGTCTAAAGCACTGGTTCCCAAACTGGGGGGCGCGCCCCCCTTGGGGGGCGTGTACACATTGCTGGGGAGGCGCAAGCAGTTTTTACGA